ACCTAATTAAGAGGGGTAACAAAATTACGCGACTGACATATTTGTAACTGTAACAGTAATATTTTCTATTTTCATAGTCTTTGAAATTTAATAATCTTTTACGAAACCTTTGCCTCGAGGCTCAATGTTTTCTTAATAAATCGAATCAAACTCATTTATCACTTGTGAAGGTCGAAATTACAAATTTCACATAATATTCATAATATACAAAGCTAGCGTGAAGTAGTCTTAGGAACTGCGAATATCACAGCGGCTAGACAGCGATTAATAAAATCAAAACTATTAAAAAGTTGTCAACAAAATAACTTTAACTAAGGTCAACCCGATTTCATTTAAGTAATTGTTGAAACTATTCAATTTATTCAACATTTCTTCTGTTTTAGGGTCTTGTTGTAATTATAATTAGGCAGTGCCTTATTATTGTCTAACAATAAACACAATGTAAAGAATTTTATGTGAAATATTATCACATAATGTTCAAAGTGCTTATAGCAATATTAAACCATAAACGTTGTTGCCAACGTCGTTTGTTTTTATGACACAACATTACTTTAAAATATAAAATTATTGCTTTAAAATTCTATGGCGCTTTAATACATAACATTACACAATACAGGTTCATTATAAGATTTGATTTCTCTTCTCTATCAGCAGTAATTAAGGTTGTATTTAAAATGAAGAAAGATATAATTAATAACACACATAATCTTGCTCGAGTCAATTATCGTCATTCGGCACAGGCCTATGAGAAGGGACATTAATAGACCTTCCCTATGGATGAAATCAAATCAAATGGAATAGAAAAAAAATGAGCTAAGACACACCACGCGGGTTGAGAGTGGATTATACAGCCTGGACCAACGATTCAACGTGCCTTTCAAAGCACGCGAGGAGCTAAACCTTTTGATCACTCATCTTATGACCAGCCCTTGCCAAAGACACCTTAAGATATTAAAATTTTTGATCATTTATCTTATGAACAGCCCTTGTTAAAGTCACTCGAACGCGCTAATTACTAACTGCCACATCGAACTTCTGATAGATATTATCAAAAAAATATTATTATATAATGTTATAACTTATCTCTACATATGTTGGACTAGGTTTAGAATTCGAAATATAAGTCGCTTATCATTTTCTGCCCGTTACGTAATATTTTCTCGTTAGCCTCACAATGGTTTTAATACATTGTATTCTGGATAGAATATCTATCTCGAGAAAAAATTATCACTTTTTTTGTTCTTGTCTTTGTCCAGTTACATGGAGTTTTTTGAAATTTATCATCCTCGTCGTCGTTTTTGAGTAAGAGAGTTTTTGTGTCGCTTTGGATAATCTCTCATGTAGCTGGCGGTCTACCTTTTCTCCTTTTATACGTTGCGATGAAAACTTTTGGATACAACTTAAGTAGGTTTATTGGGTTTAAGTAGTAAATCTTAAAACAAAAAGTTTTCAGTGTACATATAAAAGAAATAAAGTTGGAGACATAATTTATTCTTGTAGGAGGTTTTTTTTTTTAAATTAAAACTGTAACGCACTGGTAGCTTTACCGAGTACATTGACATTGATTTCGTTAAGATTATAATCAATCAAAATGTACTCCACCTTCAATACTGTATTAAACAATGAGAGCATGTGATTCAACCCAATGTATATTAACTGGATCAGATAGTGAGTGATGATGATGATGAGTGCATTTTGATTGATTCCAATATCAACCAAACCAAAACCAGTGTAGTTCCGCGGTAGGTATGTTAGCTACCGAAATGCTTCCTCGAAAGGTCCAGTCGGGTATCTTATCTAATTTATCAGACGTTGGTTTGAAAATGAACTCCGAAAAGAGTTTCGTAATGGTTGTAAGTTAATTTATTACTAAATTATGGGGTTACGTCATAAAAAAATACTCAGACTTTAATTAAACAAACATTTTCAGCAATGACTATCAGTTTGCTCTGTCGCTACCATCACATGTTCTAGCGCCTGAGTCCTGTTGTGGGTACCGAGTATACTCTCTGTACCCTTTGTACTCAACATACTGAAATATTAAGCTTTAGTATGCTCTTGTACATTTTTGTCACGAGCTCTCCCTCTACAACTGCTAAAATTATTCGGGATGGGAAGTCAATGAAGAAGAGGAAGTTTAAGGAGATCACGTTTCTATTCATTTACTTATCTAAACTGTCTCATACTAGTGATAAAAAACTTTGGGTCTTATTATAATATTACTGCGTGAAGATATGAATTCCTTTATTTGTTTTGGCTTATACGACGTTAGTCGTTTATTAAAAACAAAACACAAAACAAAAAACATTTTTGTTTTCATTTTCAGTTTTATGAATTCTTTCCCTCAGAGTTTTGCGCTCTCAATCGAAGACTTACTTTTTGAATTGAAAACTTTCATTTATTAAGTATTGCCCTTTTGCCGGTCTTCTCTAATGCGAGACGCGTGTGAACTTTACCCACAAATTTTTGCCAGTTCTACATGTACTACATTTTTTAGGTAAATTCGTCGATCGTATAAGTCGAAATATACATAGTTTATTACGCCCGACGGACTGACGGATCATTCGTTGAAATTGCTAGGTCAGATTTTGCGTTCACTTTTTTGATTTGCGGTCAGATATGCACCAACCAACCCTTATTATTTCGGACCCGACAAAATGGGTGTTTTTTTCATCAAAATTTGAATGTTCTTTACGTCTGAAGGTCTCTTACCGTAAATTTATAAACCCTTGACGTTGTTTCTGGTCTTCACGAATGTTCATTATTTTTTTATGACTGAATAAATTATATTATTTCATAAATATATTAATGACACTGCAGTGTTGGCGGTTCGGGTGTATAAATGATAGTCTGACTGCGATTATAATAATAATGTCTTTAATTACGTTTACATTGGCTTATATATAATGAGGAGTGATGAGTGTGTGTGTACACACACTACAACACTCCATCCACTTATCTTAATACTTTGAGACATGCAATGTCAGCTACTTTAAAGTCTAATTCTACTACTATATAATCTACATTATTAAAAGCCGATGAAGCGTTACAATACCTATTTGCCGTCAAAATACCTCGACAAATTCCTTTGTTTTAGAAACTTATCTCAATTTTAAATTTATTCGAATATTCGATCGATGAATTAGCAGATAGTCCTTTGTTCTCAAAAGTAATTCTAATTATCTGAATCTGGAAACTTTAATAAATAGAGCAGTCTAACAATGGTCTCGTTTGGAGTACCTATTTATCTGGTATTACATTGTTCTTTTGTTTAATCTATGTATAATAGACAACAATTCATATTATTATCATATAGTTATAGTAAGCTTTATTCCCAAAATCATTCAAATACTTTTGTGAACATTTATATAAAAAATAAGTACAAACGTAGTCTTAATCTTTAATAAATCTAGAATACATGTGTAAAGCTTTTAGTCGGCCCTGTACCTAAAAGTGGCTTAAAAACCTGTTAGCAAGACATTATAATGAGAAAGTGGATAAGCCTTTTTTATATTTTATTCATTCTCATCTAGGCTTAGAAGTTTACCGAATGACTGCGGTTGTTCTCGCAATCCTAGAAGTAACAAATAAAATCAAAAGCCTGCAGCGAGACTACTGATAACTTTCCTTTTAAGAACGTGATGCAGTATTTTAATATTTAATTATTCTGCAAGGGCCGGTCGTGGAATGATTGACCAAGAAACTGTGTTGTGGATTATGGATATATTTTATTCGATTCAATTTTATACAGAGGCAGGGCTTGTGCCCCAGTGAGGACATAATTAAGCTAAAGATGCACTTTCTTTTAATCCTATTAAGTAAATTTTAACACAAATCTTATTAATCGATAATTAATATTCATTGGCTTATAGTTACATTAAACTGAAATATCCTAACATTCTCATTCGATATCAATCAAGAAGATTTTGTCAATTCAGATTTGTGTTTATATAAGCAACATTTTTAGTTGGTTAGCTTGCTGGTTTCACGATGGCTGTATGACCTTAACTACCTGCTTGCAGGACCAGATGTTGCATTCTATCAAATATGGGTCATGTTGAATTCTTTATTTTGATGTTTTGTATACGCCAGGTCTGACAATGAAAGTGGAAGGTGGGGTGGGAACTTTTTTTTATAAAACAATACAAATGTTGTAGAGTTGATGCTTGTTTGATTGATTAATAAAATCTCTGCTCCAACTGTATATCCAACAACAAGCTTGTTGGATATATATAACAAAGCTTGTTAAAAAGTATATATACCACTACTATATATGTTTTTAAAAAGGCAATACAAGAAACATTCATTTTCGAATGGCTCACATACCACTGTATTTTGAAAGGTCTCTCGCCATTTTCGCAGCTCCACTTCGGGTACTGCGTAGAAAATTATTGTTACGGGTCTGTGTGTCGGTGGTACATTCGTTTTTTCTACAGAACTATTTGAATACTTAGTTTTAGAATTTTGCAAACGTGTATATGTTTATGTCAATTCAATATACATAGTATGAAATAGTTATTTTGTTAAAAGCTTTTTACAAGCTATTTGCGATATCTTAAAGGATGTACTTAAACATCCCTTTTACATCAAAAGCAACCCTCCTTGTCATAAGGACACCTTTCTAGTTTAAAAATAGCCAAATTTAATTCGAGAAAGCGTTCCAGGAAACCTTTTTGTAGAGGTTCTATATTTATCGTGATTTTCGTATATTTTAATGTAAATATTTAACACTAGCTCCTTCCCTAGTGTTTAGTGTTTAGCGGTATAAAAAGCATCCTATTATTTAAGTCAGCTAGTACCTTATTTGTATACCAAAAATTCTTACATTGAAATCCGATCTGTAGTTTCGGTGTGATTGACGGAAACATCCAAACAAAGAAACTTTCACATTATAATATTAATAGGATTTTCACAGTAAGAATTTACGGTCTTAAGGAAGTGCTTTTACTATTGGCGTCGAGGTTAAAAATATCCCTCTTTTTGCGTTATCTAGATCTTAAATGAAAGTTAATCCAATCAGACTGAATACTCAAATAATAAGGTATTTATTATCATTTATTGACCTTAAAAATCTTCGTAACTTTTTAAACATTCTTTATCGGTCGCCATGAGAAACGCTAAGGCTTATTATATTAAGCTTACAGTAAGTCTTCGATTTGGAAGTGGGCTTGTCCTAATAAAAACTTTGTCGATTATAACTTTAGGGAAAAATCATAATGACTAAATTATTTGACGTGGAAATATAGAATAGAAGACAATTATACGAGTTCTTTGTTGTGTTTTGGTTCTATTTTAAGACAATTACCTGTGTTACCTCAAAAGCTCATAAGCTTGCGGGTTATTGAAAGAGAAGTGCGCGCGTAAATATGAGAAAACAGTTCGTAGTCAAAAATTTCAGTTTTCGAAATTACTAAATCAAATACAGAAAATTAGTATGTAAGGTTTTTTTTTTATTATTTATATCTTCCAATAATTTCTAATTAAGGTACAATTGTCTACTCCTTAATATATTAGATATGATGAGGACCTCGAGATTGAACCATCTACTCCCTCCCTCCTAGGGCTGATGGGTTTTGAAACTCGAGAACGGCTGAACCGATTTGACATATTTTAGTCTTGAAATATTCGTGGAAGTACTGCGAAGTTTTAAATGATGAGAAAATATGACAAAATTGCGAGTATAATACTAAAAACGACAATTTGATTTTCCCATACAAACTGTTCTTAGCTATCAAACATTCAGTGGTGAGCAATATTATGGTCGTGTAGTGGTCAGTTTATGCAGCACGTGAAAAAAATAAAGACATGCTGTCGCCATTATAGTTATTAGTGCACGAATTATAATTATGACCTATGTAATTATAATTATGACCCTATTTTATGGTTTTTATTAAGAGGTAAATGATACGAAGTTCACCGGGTCAGCTAGTTAAATATATTTATCTGAATAGGTGCTATTCCGTTAAATAGTAAATGCAAAATTGATCATATGTAGGTACTCGTAATAATATCTGCTCCTTTTAATTAATATGATAAATAATATGAAGCTGACTATGACGCACAATACGACTTGTTATGAGATATTAATAAGTATTTATAAGGGCACAATTCAAAGCAACAATAATTTCCTTTACATTTGAAAATGATTACGTAAAGCCTTCCTCAAAGAAAACAATATTGACTAGAACATAAGAAATAAAAGTTATTAGGATTTCTAAAGTCGGCTATAGATATTTTTCTTCGTAGCTAAGTCGTAGCTATTTCGTAGTTGATTCGTAGTAGAACCGTAGTCTGAGGACAATAATACTCGGACGTATTCGTAGAATAAAGTTCGATGTTTTTGTAAAATAACGTAAAAAATGCATTTTTTAGGATTTTCAATGAACAACGAAAACGCCCTGAAATTTGTTGTAGCTGCAACCAATAACAGGTCATGTTTACCGACTTGTGACGTCACACGCAAACAGGAAGCTGTCATGTCAAAACAGTGTAATTAAAGATACGCTAAAATTTAATTTATAAATACAATTTGTAGCTCATTTTTATAAACAAAACCACAAATACAAATGCAATATATAAAATTTGTCTTCAATTTCTCTTCTCTAATACTATTTGTTAACTAACGTAAATAAATAGTTGATAAATAGGTTACGTCGCGTTAACATATTTACCGGCATGTGACGTCACAAATACCACGTGATTAGCACCATATATAGTAGCGTTTTTTGCTCTATTTTGGTTATTTAAACTTTAACAATTATTTTAATTGCAAGTCATACTGATTGTCATGAAATATATTGACAATAACGATTTTAAATAGTTTTCAGAAAATACCCCAATGCAAACAGACTACTTGAAAATTCGTGGAACATGGATGTTCTATGGTTAATCACGTTACGCTTACTAATAGACCATTATACTTTCACAAGTAACAACACAACGAGCAGACACCGAGACGCTGCTGGTCAGGTGCTGGGGGGCTCTAATAAGCTATGATCATTAAAGTAAACCGAAGTTTGATGCCAATTGTCAAAAAATTTGCTCACTTTGAACCGAGTGCTGGATAATCATTGAAAACTAGTAAGTTGTGTTTTTTCCTGTTTTAGTGTAACCAACATATTCCTGGTGAACCTGTCAGTGGCAGATCTGCTGGTGACGCTGTTCTGCATGCCAGTGCAGATAGCCAAGTCCGTCACGCTCATATGGTACTTCGGTGAAGTCATGTGCAAGACTGTCAATTTTCTTCAGGGTAAGTACAATCAGTTACAAAAAGTCTTGAAAATGTATATACATATTAATAAACTACTAATGATAACAAAGGAGAAACTGTTACTATTGATATGATAGATCTTGAGTGCCTCTGTCAAGTTATTATAAGATATAAAAAAAAAAACTCTTAATTTTTACACAGAGAAAAGACTTACCGTCTTAATATAAAAGGAGGACTTACTTTAATACCAGATTAATAACACATCTCAATTTAACGTTATTTCTTCTGTCTCTCATCATCATCTCTAAGTCAGGTACTAACTATTTTAGTCCTCGTTTCATTATATGAGATGGTTAATCTTTTGTACTGTTATTTTTAAGCAGCAAAAACAAAAATTGTCTGCGCAAAAGAGCAAGTCAAGCCGGTGGAATACGAGTACCTACGAGTAGCAATCAATGACTTCGAAATATAAACTTAAATATGTTACGTAAGGTTTAACAATTGTATTTTTTATGTTGTGTATATACAATAAATAATATAAAACAGCCATGTGTACATATTGCTAATAAAACAAATGAAAATGTAAATAATTCAACCGGTGCATGGTGTGTATGCCCATTTAAAACTTCGTTAATTGCAAATAGACATAATAGTTGTGCTCCGTATGTAAATATGCAATAATAATTACCGTGAAAGCTTTCTATTTTTGCGAAAGCCGTTTTGACACTTGTCAAAAACCCTGTATGATTATGTAATCATCAAAATAAAAAAAAACATTTTTTTTTTTGTAAAAAAAGTCGTCCTAAATAAGAGAAGAATTCTAGCTTAGCGTCAATCCATCAATTTAAAAGTAGCAGGTAGGTAACCCCGTCCTAAATTATTAATATACAAATATTTTTCTTAATCGTATCTATTGTGTAATAACTTTTTTAGTAATGGTTGGACTTGGAGGAAATTTTACGGCACTTCTTTTTTGTATATTTTTATAACATCAAAACCTTCACAAAGTAGACAATAGCCCCTTCAATATTGATGAGTTCCATAATTTGTCTCTAACAAACCAAAACCTAATTTAAAGAAGCTATTCTCATGGAATAAAAATTATTCGTCCGTTATTATTATTGAGCTACTTCCTTGGTATAGAAAAAATAAAATAAAATCAGGTTGAACTTGACCTGCCACTGATTAACTGAGCTGCTCAAATTATAAGATTTCTGGTGTAATACAAATTATTTCTTCCAGGTGTAGCTGTAGCATCAAGTGTATTCACAATCACCGCAATGTCAGTAGACCGGTATCTGGCCATCACCCAGTCACTCAGACAACCCTGGATGCCCTCCAGGAGAGGAGCGTGCAGTCTCCTGGTGCTACTCTGGTTACTAGCATTAGCGATCTTCGCACCACTAGTAGCCGTGACAGCTGTCGAGAGGGAGCCAGTGCCCTACATGTCCAGGACAAGGAATGGATCGGTAAGTTAATAAGATTATGTGTTATTTATTTGATGCCTACTTTGCAAAAAGACCGGCCAGATATCCGAAATCAATTTACACTGACTCGTGAAAGCATGGGAATCAAGTGTATATTATAAATAATACAGTTTGAAGACTCAGGGTGTCTTTATTATTAGCCGCACAGGGAATTGCTAGGGAAGCATGTAATGACAGGCTATTTACACAGTTTAAGTACTGCGGGACATCTTATAAACGATTGTAACGTTTGCGGGACTCAATTCTGTGCCTAACGATAGATGTATTGCTAAAATGTAGTGGTAGTTCTAAACATAATGACATGATACAGACAAAGCTATATGCTTGCTGTTTAGTTGCAATTATTGACTCCAATAACTATTGCCACATCACGGATTAGTTTTTTAATGTCTCGAAAATGTCCTAAACTAACAAAGCTATCGCTTATAAAATCGATGGGGAAACACTATTATGTGCGTTATTTCTGACCTTTTGTGTCTTTGTAAATAATATTAGGTTGCATAAATGTCAACAAGTGACTTTGCCGTGGACTAATTAGGCACTAATAGGAATATAGGTGATCGAGTGTTTGCATAATATTGTACTTCAATCCAATTAATTTCTTACAAATGTTAACGTGTAAATACTTTTAAAATTCATTTGCATTCAATTTTAAAAAAAGCAAGCTGGTTTCTTTTTTTATTTTAATTTTATAAAACTTATAAAAATACACAAGACAAGGAACCTGCAAAGAGTCCGAAACTTCGTGAAATCGAATATAAACGCGTTACACCCCTTCGAAACACTTTTATTAAATTTATAAAAATATACATATAAATATGATGTACGTCTAAGTTGGATCTATTGAAAATTTAAATCTAGACTCACAAAACAATCAATGTTAACGAATTGTTAAAAACTTATTTTTAAGTCAGTTAATGTACAACTTGTCAAAGTCTGACATCAAAAAAGTCTTTATCCAGTACGGCTATGATCACTATGAAATTATGACTACTCGTGTACAGATGAGTCGTTCTAGCTTCATTACTAAAATGGCTGCCCAGATTGGCTATATTAAATAAATGACCACCAATTTACGAAACGATCGGTTTGTTCAAGATTAATACTCCCGGTAATTGAATATACAATTGAGTCTCATATCATATTATTAGGAACGAAATGCGTTTGTACTCCATATTACCGTGGTGAATTTTATTTTACTTTGGTTCATTCTTTATTTCGGTAGATGTAGATTGAGTAATAATATGCCTAGAAAAACTTTTGATACTTTAAAAATGTTTTAATTAGACTGTTTTTATCTTATTGCCCAAATTAGTAAATCAATTTTAATAGAAGAGGGCCCGAATATTGAATCTTATATATGTATATAAATATAAAGCCTATATATAAATAGAATTTCCCTTTAATAAATAGAGTGTAGAATCACATGTGTAGAATGTGAGTGTAGAATCAGTAAAAATATTATACTCATCCTACTGTGAATTCACTTAGATTTGAGGCAAATGATTTTGCTTCCAGATCTTTAGCAATCATATTTATGTGAGAACGGAACAGAAGGTTAGTGTAGAAGAGATAGTGAGTTGAACGTATGCGTGACGTGTGAAAGAGATGACTAAATATTGGTAATTCAAAGTATAGGAGGAAAACGAACGACGAGAGGAGAACAATTTGTACAACGATACGGCGTGCATGTGGTTAAGATCAATATTAAGAAGTTAAATTAAAAAAGAAACTATTTGCTGTACTCCATTCGTTTTATTCCTCCAATCACTCCTTTATGAAATTACTCACAGTTGCCTAAATTTACGGCGAAAGCAGACTCACGGTATGAATAAATTAGAATATAAAATTTATTCGAAACAATTTCAGAAATTTATACTTTAACAACAAAATTAAAGAACGGTTTATTAGATATAACAAAAAATCATAATATTAAATTGTTAAGGAGCCTTTAAGGGAGAAATTTAAAGAAATTAATTAATTAATTAATTAATTCCATTTATTACAAGCATTAACACTCATATACACAAATCAAAATTTAGTTTATACAAATAAATAAAATTGAAAATTAAAACATGCAATAAATTTTAAAATCAAAAATATAAACAAATAATAATAATAATAAGTAAATTCATTACAATTATCTAAAATACATTAAATCATCGTCATATCTAAATGCCGCGAAGATTAATTAAAGAATAATAATCAAATAATAATCAAATTAAAAACAACATAAATAAAACATTAAATTAATACATTCTATAGAATCGCTCATAAATCACATATAATCATTTTACATGAGTCATAGATTGATAGTAAGATTTTATTATTGGTATTTCTGATTCTGTCTTTGAAAGCGGCAGCCCTTTTTCTCATAATTGCAAAAAAATCATCAACCCTATTGTCGAAGAACATGCCGTAATGACATAATGACAAGTGCTTCTCAATACATATACGAGAACTTAATATGTTCGTAAAAATATTGGTTTGTTTTCTATAAAAAGTGATGTACACAATTTTAATAAAAGAAATAAAAATAAATTAACGGTGCCTGTCACTAGACTGCAAAAGTTAATAACTCATTCAGGGGTATTTGTGTGCGCTTCCACAATAAGGTCCCAAGCAAAATACAACAACTCGAACGAAGTATTTTTTTAATCAACTTTTAAAAAAATACTTCGTTCGATCCGAGTCGTATTATATAACAGATAATAATGCTTGGACTTAAGAAGGTCCAGCAACTAGATAGGTGATTACTTCTAAACTCATTATATCTTAAAAATTATCTTGTTGCCATTATTATTAAATTATTATGTTGTCAATTATCATTAAAAGACCATATTTTTTTCTTTCTATTTACAATGTATTGATCTGGTAATGACACGGTTTTTGTGAATGTCATTACTGGTGAGTTTCTTGTTCATTCATCTTATCAGCCAAAAGACGTCCTGAACGAGTGGTAGGGAAAAAAATTGAACGATTTAAAAGTACTTTTAAGAAGTCTATTTGTAAAAAAAATATTTGACTTTGACTTTAATATCATTTAATAAACACAATACACTCTTTTTTGAGAAGTCGTGTAAAATAGGAAAAACTGTATTTACATAATAATTTTGTAAATGCATAAAATCATTGTAGAAATTTTATTTCTTTTGACGCGTATTGGGAAGTCGTATTTTTCTTTTGGTAACAAAAGCACCTAAAAGAAAATTGCTGAGGTGAGGTGGAATTTCCCATTGGTACTTTCCTTAATTCTGAAAAACTCTGTATTAATAAATAAAACTAATCAATTAACACTTTCCAATATTTGTTGATCGTTCCTATATACAAGAATTTTAATGCAAAAACATAATAAAATATTTATTATTCGTATTCATTGCTTTAAAATTAATAAAGCTGAAATGTTCAGAATAATCCACTCTGCTCTCACACAAGCTTTGTATGGCAGTATTTAAAAAATTCTAGTAAACCTTTGAGTTTTAAAACCTTTGCATATATTCCCACATTCATTAGCATTGTTTTCGGTTACGGAAAATCACCACATTTGACTTTAAAATTGCGTTTATATGGTACATTACTGTGTCTGTAGATAGTTCATAATTCATATAGAGTCATGTCTTTCAACTTATTCTTATATAAAAACAATTTATTATGTAATTATGTAATTCAATAATGTAAAAACAATTTATTATGTAGATACGAATACGATATAAGATAAAAAATATCTTCCAAATCAAAAGTAAGGTGCTATATTCTAAAAGTACCTTAATAAATTGAAGTGAATTTTATGCAGTGTAATACACCTTGGTTTAATACTTTTTGCCATTTCATATCATCGTAACGGTCTGTGATAATTCATTGAAATTGCTTTCGACGCTCTATATCATATCTTTTGTACCTGTTTTACTGAATGAGGGGCAACTTGCAATAGTCCTGTTTTAAGTTTTTTTTTTAGATGCGGTCTAAATTATTTATTGCCTTTATAGTGATGTACGTAGTATGATTAAAATGGAGACGCTTGGTGTTGTGTCATAAAAAACGAAATTTAATGTAATTTTTAAACACTAATGACTCTTTATACTTAGTACTGTGTCTATGAAATATGTGTAAATAATCTGGTCGGATATGATTTTCACGAATTGAAAGGACATTTAGAAATTTTCCAAAATTTAGTTTTAAGGAAAAACAGATTAAGGCCCTCTTGTTCCTCCGTTTACGTTTGTATACATTTTAAACCATAAAAAAAACAAATGCAGTATTAATATATATTTTTTAAACCTTAGATTACATCAAAATCTGTTTTGTATGTATTTAAGATAAATATAATATTAGTCGTAATATCGGCCCAAAAACCTATTTGGAGATATATTTGCAATTTTTTTTACATCATGATCAGCCCTTTTACGTCCCCACTGCAGGGGTTCAGGCCTTCCTTATAGATGGTTAAGGAGGATGGGCCATGACCCTCCACGCTGGCCCAATGCGGATTGGAGGGTATTGTCGACTGCAAATGCAGCCTGGACCAACGGCTTAACATGCCTTCTGAAGCACGGAGTCGCTCGAGATAATAATTTTTTGGTCACCCATCCCGTGACTGATGGTCACTGACCCTTGCGAAAGTTGCTTAACGACAACGATCGCGGGCCGCGGCGCTTATCCACTACGCCACCGAGCTTCTTATTTTTTTATACCAAACCAATTATTTAAATTTAAGTTTCTGTCTACACACAATCGATAATATGTTTAATTTTCATAAAAAATATTTTTATTTGGCAAATATTAGCATAGCCTTGGAATTGAATTGATTTAAAATGTGGTAATTTCGTAAAATCTCGCCTTAGTGACATGACAAAAATATAGTCGTATTTTATTTCATAAATAATTTATGTCATATATTACTTCCGACATTCATCTACTTAGAAACCTTTGTTTGTGACGTCATTGTCAATAAATTATGGAAATTGATATTCAACATTTAACTAAATATATTA